CCGGTGTCCAGGCAGAGTCAAGAAAATTGGAGGTGGAATCGGACACAGGTAGCTGGCGCGGCGTCAGCCAACCCCCTCCCCCCATGCATGGCATTTATGATGGGTGTGCAACCCGAATAACGTCTGCGGTGCCCTGATGCAGCCCCCCGTGTTGGCCCAACGCATTTATCCCACGGCCCGTTTAGGGAACCAATCAAACCCCACAGAGAAAGTTATAACAAAGTTACACGATCCAGTAAAGTACAGTTTTCTGGTCGCAAAGTTAGGCAGAAAATACCGAAATAGCTCCCCGAGACATTATACTTCGACTTGTCATGCCGGAGCGAGGATCACTGACCTCGCCTGACTGCAGTTAGAAGGCAGTATTTTCACTTCCTTTTGAGCTCTGGCATAGAGCTATCACAAGTGGATGTTCAAGGCAAAACGCACTGAGCATACTCCATCCGTCAATTAGGCCAGATTAACGAAGGTTACCCTTAAGTGACCCCAAATATTCTCGCACACGGCTCGACCCTAAACTGATACACACCCCGGTTCAAATTTTCCGATCCCCAGTTGTGCTATGACCAAAAATTGCTAGCCCGAGTGCCCTTGCTTTTTCGACAATAATTCGAGAATTTTGTTGTGTTGTGGCAGCCCTAAAAACATGCCTCTTTGGCTTGACCTTATCAGGATCTCTGAAGGCATGAGCTAAATAGAGAAGAATAACAATCGAAGTAATATTACTCAAAGGATTTCAGTGTCAGTATGTGTTCAAACCCAAAAGCTAACATTTTTTCAAACGAAAAAGGGGAGCGGGTACTGAACTTTTGCCAGTTGTGAAAAATTAATAGGAGAAATTTGTGATCCTCCGAGAAATGTAAACACATTACGCACAAAAACTAGGGAGACCTGAATGGCTAGTACTGGCTTATTAGCCGTCACCAGCCAGCCACAACCTCTTATGTATATAATGTCGGTCGCTGTGTGGCTGTTGGCGGGGTTTAAAAGTGAGCTGCAAGACACAATGGGACGAGGGAGTCCTGCAACCGATTGGTAAGCGCCCACTCACCATTGTTAATATTCTCTATCGAAGCGGACAAGACAACGAGCCCGTGACTCAATGGCTAGAGTACTGGATTTCTAACCAACAGGTCGCGAGTACCAGCATTAAGTGTGCAACACTTGGGGCTGGCTGACGAAGGCTAATAAGTCAGAAATGGTCATTCCAATCTTTTTTTCTTTGTCCGTAACATTTGTCTGCTCATAATACTGGGCGTTTTGCAGCTATTGGCGAGGCTCAAGGGTGAGCCCCAAAGTATAAAGGAACGAGTGAGTCCCGTAAACGATCGGCCAGCACCCATTCAGCATTGGAAAAGACACTAACGTAATCTGGAACGTCCAATTGCTGACTTATATGCTGGTCGGCGCGAGGCCAATTTGCACACCAGGTTATAAATTTGGTTAAAATCTATCAGGTGCTCGTTATAGTCTATTTCGGGTGACTCTACAGAAAACGACCACAGTCTTAAGTGTTCCGCGTGCATTTATGAGAATAGAATTGCAGCGCAACAGCATAGCCCTGCCAGGCATCTTATCAAGAAACACTTACGGCTTGGGGAAGAGTCGGTGCCGCAGCGCCAACGTGGATTGCATCGTAAGGAGCTGATGGCGCGTATCCATTTCTGCCGTCACCTGTCACGAGTTGAATTTGCTTTCCAATTTCCAGCTCAACATCAGTACCGTTAAACTGAGGTTTTGATGCCAGCCAATTGCGTATATTGGTATCTGAGAGCTTATGCAACTCCTCAATATGTTCGATACCGACAGCGGTGCCAGCCGTACCAACCTAAACAGAGAGAATTTGGTTAAGGAGGTGCTCCCCACCGAGAATGGGGGTGAATGAGGAGGCTCGCACAGCCAACCTCTTCAAAAGCTAGAAACAGCCCACCGTACACATTTTAAGGCCGTCATATAAAGGACTAAAACCTCTATCGAGAACAATCACTCAAGGTTTCTAAATGATTACTATAACGACGTGGTCTGACGCGCAGAGGAAGCGTTCTGCCAGGGCAGCGATTGCACTTGAGTGCAAGACTCGAGACTAGTCCGTTGCCTCACTAACCAGACTAGGGTAATATGTACTCCAGATACGCTAATAAACGACTTTACCGACAAGTCTGTCAGTAAATCTATGGAGGAACATCCCCCAAAATCAGACGTCCCAGTGGCTTATAAGGACTTCTTTCTCACATGACATTTTTGAGGGGATCTACGGAACGAACTTCTACATCCTCAGCTAAGCGCTGCTACCGCGGCAACGTACCCAATGGCTAAAATAAGACTAGTGTTTGGAAG